GTCTCCACACCCGCCACCCCGCCCCCGCCCCCGCCCCAGCCCAGCCCAGTCACCGGGCTCAGCACTTGGAGGGCCTCTGGGACAGTGTCGTCATATCCCAAAGCCCCTGGGCAACACAGGAGGTCAGGGCTCACCACAGCGGCTGGTCCTCTTCAGCTCTGCTCCCTCCGGCCCCGCCTCCGACCCCTGTGGCCCCCGTCAGACCCCCACCCAGCTCTGCCCTGGGGCCTCTGCCCCCACGCCCCACTCCCGCCTGCCTGCCTGCCTATCTCCTCATCCTTACACCCCAGTGTCCATGGCACCTCCTCCCCCTGATCGCCCCGGTTTGGAAGCGCTCCGGGCCCTGTGGACTTCCCTTTCCTGGCTCCCAGCCCTGTGTAGGAGGGCGGGGTGAGCGGTGAGGAAGGGCTCCCGGGGGTGGCCCTGGCTGTGCTGAGGTTGGGAGGGGACTGTCAGAGCTGGGGGCCCGCCCTGAAGCGGCTGCCCTCTCTCTGGCCCAGGTCTGTACCCCAGAGGAAGGTGGGGCGGGGCCTGGCCTGCCTGCCGGGTGCATTTCCTCCTGGGGGGGGAGGGAGGCAGCGAGGGGCGTTCAGCCGAGCAGGCCCCGGTAGGATTTGGTGTCTCCAGCCCTCGGGAGTGGGAGTGGACTGAGGCCGTCCACTCCCTAGAGCAGGGTGAGGCGCAAGTGTGAGGGGGGTAGAAGGGTGGGTGGGCGGATGGACAGACAGAAGGATGGCGGATGTCCTGGGGACAGGAGATGGGAGAGCAGGAAGTGCTAGAGCCTAGAGGAGGCTGGATGGGATTACCCCATCTTGGTGGATCTCTGGAGGGAGTTTCAGAATTCTTCTCCTCGGTGTCTCTCTTCCCTGACTGTGGCCTTCAGTCGCCTGTGAGCCCAGCGTGGGGAGCTGAGTGCAGGAACTCTGGATGGGTCACGCTTCACTCGGTGCTCCCAGGTGCTCCCAGGCCAGCACTAGCTCGGGAATGCGGGGGGGGGCAGGGGGGGGCTCCCAGTGAGGATGCGGGCAGAGGTGAGTGTTCACGCACTCACAGCTCACGTAGGACGGGACATCCGAACTGTTCCCGAGGGCTAATAGGAGATTTGCGAGGACTGAAGAGGAAGGAGACCTCCAGGCAGAAGCCGGTGCACGGGCCGGGCAGCAGGAAAGCAGACGCATTTAGGGCGAGTAGTGGGTAGAGCTGACAAGAAAGGGACGTGTGCGTGAGTGGGGAGGGAGGCAAGAGGCAGGCACTGAGGGTGCAATGCCAGGCTAGCCCCCCCTTTTGGGGACCCTCTGCTCATGGGCAGTTCCCCCTGTATGTCCTCTGCCCGCTCGTTTGAGGTCCTAGCAAATGCCTCAGGTCATGACAGGCATGGTTCCCCATTTCTGCCTCCTGTGAATCAGGACCGCTCTCCTCCTTCATCCTGACCGCAGTACCCTTGGGGAACGTCTGGGCCATAGAGGTCAAAGCCAGAGGGGTGAATTCCTGTCCGAGCCACATGAGTGAAGTTCGGGCTGGGTGTGAGGCAATAGGGCGCGGTGAGGACTGGGGAGAGGTGGCAGGTGATGGGTTATCACGGGCACAGGGGCCGCTGGACTCTGCCAATGTTGCCATTTGGGAATTCTGGCCTAGTACTTGCTGATCTGTGGATTTTTTTCAAGAGAAGCTGGAAATCCAGATTTTTATATGAAATCTCCTGATTTTAAATAACTAATATTAAAATGGTTCACACATCACCCTAGCTGAACAGGAGCATTTGGCCCCACGTGGCCCACTGTTGAGCATGGGCCATCGTGCCCTGAGTGAGGTGAGTGGGGACAGTGGCTCTGTGGCCCCGGGACCGGCAGAGAGGCCCGGACGCTGTTAGCGGCGGGCCCTGGGGGCGCCTCCGACGGGCTTCTCAGGGCTGCCCCAGGCGGCCACCGAGCCAGTCTCACGGCAGCCTCAGCCCCTGCTCTCGAGGCTGTTGACTGGCCCGCCAGGCCCCACCCCTGTGGGCAGGGGCCCTGGGCTCTCCCCCGAGTCCCCGGAGGCAGACAGCTTTTCCTTTCGTGTCCCGTTGTAGTCTCCACTTCACCTCTGCCCGCTGTCTTCACGAGCAGACCGGGGAAACGGGAAGCGGGACTGGTGGGTGGCTAGTACCTGGGTATCCAGCACCAGCGTGGGTGGGGAGCAGCAGTGTGGCCTAGAACATTCTCTAGGCCCGGAGCCAGCCTGCGTGGGTTTGAACCTTGACCCTGCCACATGCTGAGTGAATTTGGGCATGCGTCTCCGTTCGTCCGTCTGAAAAAAGGGGACGGAGCTGATAGTGATGCTGGCGGAAGTAGTCCCTCAGTTATGGAGCTGCACGAGAATCGTGCCCCGGTGTCCGGGCAGCGCCTAGAGCAGGACCCCGCACCGTGAGCGCGCCGTGTTGGCTGCATCAGCGCCGCCCTCAGGCGCACGTGCTCGGACGTGCACACACGCGTCCACTTGCACGCATGCGCGCGCTGCTCCCTAGAGCGTTGATGGCATCACTGGATGCCCTCCACATGGGCATGTTTTCTAGAAGGGAGAAGTCTCACTCCCCCCTCCAGTCCCACTCAAATGTCAAATGTCAGGGACGGCACCGCGTCAGGGACTGCTGTAGCTTACGTCAAACTCGCCACCGTGCGGGGAGCCGAGTAGGTGCCCGGAGTCCTGCCACTGCTCGGTGGCAAGGGAGAGCTCGCACTCTGCCCTGGCTCGCTCACCACCCGGCCTCGGTAGCCACGAGCCTGCACACAGTGGAGCTCTGGCATCGTGCCTCTGGCACACCCCAAAAGCCCCCCTGCGGGGAAGGTCTCTGCATCCCGCACGCATGTGGAAGACGCTGGGCATTTGAAAGTCCTTGTAGAGCTTAGGGCGGGGAGAAGTGTGTTTCTCCTTGTGTTTGTGTGTGTGTGTGTGAGAGAGAGAGAGAGAGAGCGAGCGAGCGTGCACGGGAGTGCTTTATGGACCTCAGCTGCTTCTGCTCTTTGCCCAGGCTACCAGGACCCTCTCAGCTGGTTGTGTATTTAGTTGTCATAGGTCTTCTCAGTCTCGAGTTCCTCTACTTCTTCCTCTCTCCCTCCATCCCTCATTTGCTTTCTTGTCCTATGCTTTGGATCTCTTGCTTCCTGTTTTTTTGGTTTGTTTTTCGGTTTGTTTGTTTGTTTTGCGAACATTATTAAAATGTAGCATACAGGAAAGTGTATAATTCACAAGTGTACAGTTTAATGATTTTTCTCAAAGTGAATATAGCTGGGTAAGCAGTGCCCAGGTCCAGAATCAGAGCACTACCAGCACCCCAGAAGCCCCTGGGACCCCTTCCAGTCACTGACCCACCAGGGTAACCATGCCCTGCTCTGGTTTTGCACGTTACACAGATGGAGTCATGCAGTGTGTACTCTAGGTCTGGCTTCTGCTCACGGTTTTTTTTAACTTTTTAAAAAAGATTTATTTATTATTTGAGAGAGAGAAGGCATGAGCAGGGGGGGCAGAAGGAGAGGGAGAGAGAATCTGAAGCAGACTCCCCGCAGAGCGCAGAGCCTGATGCAGGGCTCGATTCCACGAGATCAAGACCCGAGCCGAAATGAGGAGTCAGACGCTTAACCAAATGCGCTACACAGGAGCCCCTTTTTTTAAAACTCTTAAAAATTGTTGGTAAAATAGAACTAAGATAAAATTTACCATCTTTAACATTTTTAAGTGTACAACTCAGTGGCATTAAGTATATTTGCGATATGCAGCCACCACACCATCCAGCTCCAGAACTCCATCTTGTAAAACTAAAACTCTGTTCTCATTAGACGGTGGCTCTCCATCCCCCCATCCTCCAGCCTCTGGCAACCACCATTCTCCTTCCTGTCTTTAGGAATTTGTTATTTTAAGTACTTCACATAAGTGAAATCACACAGTATTTGTCTTTTTGTGGCTGGCGTTATTTCATTGACACAATGTCAATTTATGCACGGTGTAGAGTGTCTCAGTTTCCTTTTGACTTTGAGGCTGAATAAATATTCCATTATATGTATGTACCACATTTTGTTTATCCATGTATCTGTTGATGGACACTTGGTTTGTTTCTACCTTTGGTTTTTGTTTTGTTTTCCTTTTTTCAAGCAAGCTCTCTGCCCAACATGGGGCTTTGAACTCACGACCCTGACATCAAGAGTCACGTGCTCTACCAGCTGAGCCAGCCAGGTGCTCCCTACCTTTCAAATGTTGTGAATAATATGCTATGAACATGGATGTACAAATGTCTGTTCAAGTCTTTGCTTTTGGTTCCGTTGGTTATTTACCTGGACGTGGAATTGCTGGGTCATATGGTAGTTCTGTTTTACATTTTTGAAGGCACCTTCCTGTTTTCTGTAGTGACTGCACCATTTCCATTCCCTTCAACAGCGCACAAGGGTTCCAGTCTCTCCACATCCTCGCCAACACTTGCTGTTTTCTGGGTTTTTTTGATAGTAGCCGTTCTAATGCGGTGCAAGGTGGTACCTCACTGTAGCTTGACTTGCGTTTCCCTAACGATCACTGGTGCTGTGCCATGAGTATGTTTTCACATCAGTGTGTCATCTGTCTTGTTGTGTGAGCTGCGCGCCATCTGTTTTTATCACCATCTGGTTCTGCACAGTATGAGTAGACTGGGACATACCCGCTCATTCTACTGCCGATGGGCATTATTAGGTGGTTTCCCATTTGGAGGGATTGCAGAGTGCCGCTAAGAACATTCTAGAGTGCCTCTTTTTGGGGACATAGTCCTGGGTTTTTAAATGTAAGCCACTCCTGTTTGGAGGTTAGTGTTGCATAAATAAACCAATAAAAATAAACTTTAAAGGCTCCTCGGGCTTAGACAAATTCCGTAGCACAGGACAGGCCCCCTGCCCGCTGTGCCCTCCTGCTCCCTGTCCCAGGTGGCCCAGGGTCCAGCCGCCTGGTGTGTGCCCTTCCAGATTCTGATTTGCTCCCTCAGGGAAGAGCCCTTTGGGCCCTGACAGCGCCCCCTGCCGCCCATTGTCCCAAGCGCCCTTTTCCCACTGCCGAGCTGGATCGCTGAGGGCCTGACCAGCTCCTCTCCGTGCTCAGGGATCTTTGGGCAGCGCCTGGAGGACACAGTCCACCACGAGCGGAAGTATGGCCCCCGCCTGGCCCCCCTGCTGGTGGAGCAGTGTGTGGACTTCATCCGCGAGCGGGGGCTCACCGAGGAGGGGCTCTTCCGCATGCCCGGCCAGGCCAACCTGGTGAGGGACCTGCAGGATTCCTTCGACTGTGGGGAGAAGCCACTGTTTGACAGGTGAGCTCCTGGGGGAGAGCGGCAGAGGTGGGATCACCTGTCCGTTCCCCAGGACACAAGCTCCAGGGGCCAGAGGTGGGATGGCATCCAGGAAGCCTGGCAGCGGGGTGGTGGGTGGCACAGCTCCCCACAGTGGTGCATGGGCTCAGTTCGTGCCCCCTGCTACCCCCTGGGCAGAGCACCAGGCACAAGATCACTGCAGCAGCCCTGGGCCACCTCTCAGGGCTGGGGCCTGCCGCAGACGAGGCGCACTCGTGTCTACGCGGGCTCTTTCCACGTTGGATGCCTGTAAACCCAAGCCAGGCAGGGGGAAAGAAGGGCCTCTGCTGGTTCCATTTGGGACTCCAGGCCTCCTGCAGGGCCTCTCTCTGGGCTCTGCTTCCTCGGGGTGACCCACGCCCAGGCCCCTTCAGTGGCAAGATGGGGCAGCAGCCCCCCCATTCTCTCAGACAACGGGGGTGGGGAGCCAGTGCCCATCCCAGCCCATCACTGGGGCTTCCCGGGTCCGGGGCTGCACTGTGTGGGTAGAGTCCACTTCCCTGAAGAGCCCGAGGGCCGTGACCCGGGAGATGGGGCGAACTGGGGCCTCTTCTCCCTGACGGCACCCCACCCATTCTAGAGCAGTTTTCATAGGAAGTTCTTCCTGCATCAAGCCAACCTTGGCCTCTGTGGAGCTGCCCTTCTCAGATCTGCCCTCATAGTCAAGGCCCCCTTCTGCCCCCAGGATAAACCCATGGGTCCCTGCTGGCAGCCCTGGCCTTCCCAGCTCTTCTCTTGGGGCAGAGCACCCCCGTGCCTCCAGCTTCTGCCAAGACCCATCACTGCAGCTAGGAGAGTCTGTCGATAGATGTGGAGCCTGGGACTGACCCCATTCCCAGGGGAGGTCTGCCCTTAGGAAAGAAGAGATACTGAGGAATGGAAGCGTTATCTTGCAGGCGGAGAAACTAAGGCTCTCGGGTTAGCCACTTCTTTCCAAGTCACACCTACAGTAAGGGAGGAAGCTGACTTAGACCCCTGTGCTGCCCTCCCTGTCTGTGTACCCAGTCCCGGTCCACCACATGCTGCGAGCCTGATTCTGGGGGGAGGGAGCGGGACAGGTGATGGCACCTGCCCTAGAGGGGCTCACAGGCTGGTGGGCATCCACAGAGCCATGGGCCACAGAACATTCTCCTTGGGTGCAGGGGTAGGGTGTCTGGGTTCAGGGTAGGTGTGTGTAGAAGGGGAGGGTGGTGGGGGGGGTGCAAGAAATACCAAGAAAAAGCCTTAAGCCACTGTTCAAAGGGAGAGGCTCTGCAGTGAGTAGGGAAGGAGGGGAGAGGATGAGGAAGTGTGTTTCTAGACAGGGAGGAAAGAAGGTGAGGCAGCCAGGGTGCTGGGCCAGGCTCCCTAAACCAGGGTGGGGCAGAGGATCTGGACATGACTGACTGCAGGGACCTGTGGGGCAGGGGGCTGTGAACTGGAGCTGCTGGGACTGGCTAGGGGCCAGGCCTCCTGGGCCCAGAAGCACTGAAAGCTGAGGGTATGCAGGAGAAGCCAGGGTGGGGCTCCAGCCAGCGAGGCTGGCAGAGCAGAAGGGTGGAAGGGCCGCTCTGAGTCCACTTGCCCAGGACAGAAAAGCTTTCACCTCCCCCACCAAGGGGAGACATATCAGTAGGGCCTTGGCCACACGTCTGTGCTTTCACTGTCTACGTCTTCCCTGGGGGCAAGCCTGCAGATGCTCCCTGCTTCCTGCCCCTCCACTCAGCCTCCTGGGGCTCTAGTTCCTGCAGTGGCCAGCACTGAACCCACAGGGCTCCAGGGGGGAGGGGCCACTGGGCTCAAGCCTGGGTGCCCCCAGGGGCTGTGAGCACCCAGGAAGTGGGCGGTGTTGGCAAAGGTGGGGAGGGGGCCTGGGGGAAGGCAGTGGAGGGCATGGGCAGCAGCATGCCTGGCTGGAGAAGGTAAGTGGGAGCAGAGACAGGGGCCGTGTGGCCAGGCCAGACTAAGAGCCACCAGGCCTGAGGCAGGGAGGGGCCCTAGGTCTGCGGGTCTGAAGTATATATGGGTATACAGATCTCTAGAATCCCAAATGCCAGAGCCAGAAGGGACCTTAGGGCTTAAGTCAGCGAGACCAGCCATGGAGAGCCAGGGCCATGGCACCTTAATGGCATAGCCACATTCTCCTGGCCCCAGGCTCATCTTTCCTGAGTGCCTGCCACGGGAGAGATGCAGGCTCAGGGTTTAAATCCAGGGCTCTAGAAAAGCAGATGAAATACCTAGGGCCCAGGCCCATCCAGGAAAGCAAGCTTAGAGGAGGTGCCAAGATCGCAGTCCAGGACCTGAACCCAGAGGCCAGTAGGCCCAGGGTTGCTGCCCTCCACTGGGGGCAAACCAGCTTGGGCAGCTCCAAGCTGGGGCACAGGAGACTGAGGCCTCCAAGAGGACACACAGGACACTGGGGCGCTGGAAATAGCATGATGAACATAGAAGCCCAGGCGTCTATAATGTGAATAGGAACCCAGAGGCTGAGGGAAAGGGCCTGACCTCTGACCTGCCCGGCCCCTAGTGGCCAGTGCCCAAGGATGCCTGCTCTTCCCGGGAGCTCAGCAGGCCTGCATGGCAGGTGCCTTTGACATGGCCCCTCCTTCTACTGGTGGGCTAGTCGGAGGGTGGGGGGAGCAAGCTCAGGCTCACGTCATGTCGCATGTGGACATGAGGGCGGAGGCTGCCCCTGGGGGAGTGGCACAAGGTGCTGGCCACTCCTGGGGTTCCCTGGTGTCCCAGGCCTCATGCATGTCCCCCTGCCCACAGCACAACAGATGTGCACACGGTGGCCTCTCTGTTGAAGCTCTACCTGCGGGAGCTCCCCGAGCCCGTGGTCCCCTTCGCCAGGTACGAGGACTTCCTCAGCTGTGCCCAGCTGCTCACCAAGGACGAGGGGGAGGTTAGTGGCTCCTCGGGACCCATCCTGGGAGGTGGGCCTGCTGGGAGGTGGGTGTCTGGAGCAGGGCACAGACAGACATTTAGTGACTTTCGGGGCCCACAGATCCTGGCCTACAGCCTGCTGTGTGAAGGGCCTGGAGCATCCTGCTCTATGTATGTCGGTGAGGGGTTGGTTGGAGCACCCTGCTGTGTGTGGGAGGGTGCCCGGAGCGTCCCTTGTCTGTGTACGGTCCTTTCTGTGTGCAGGCCTCGGTCTCTGGGAGGGGCAGGTACCTCCTAAAGCAGGCTGAGTTCCAGTTGTGGTTCTGAGTGCCTGGGGCCCAGGTGTGGGCCCCAACACAGTAGGGACTCCTGCTGTACTACCCAGCTCAACCTCAGGCTACCCAGGCCAGCCACAGGGTTCAGAAACCACCAGACCTTTCATCTATTTATATCCTGCCTCCTCCCAAAAGAATTTGAGGCTGCTTCCAGGACAGAGGGCTCCCACGCCTACCCTCGCCCTCTCCTGCAGGTGCCTGCCTGCAGCCCTAGCTGGTTTTGGCTGCGGAAGGACGATCTGTCGACCTTCTGGCCCTGTGGGAGACGAGGGGTCTTTACCTGGCAAATATTTGTGCCTCCCTAAGTGTGCTGAGCCGTGGCCTTGACATTCCTCCTTCGCCCTGCAGAGGCATACCCTTCACATCAGTTCCCCAAAAGTAAATCTGCTTCCCCACGGCTGGCCTCCCCGCTCCTCAGAGGGAGATGGAGGTGGGGGCGCCTTCTGGACACCTGGGGCCTGGCTGCATGGGCCTTGGCTGGGGGTCTAGACTCGGATTCCTGCCCCCACTCCCAGCCCTCCCTCCAGCCTGGAGTCTCATTGCTGGCCTTTGAAATGCTGTTTTTCTCTTTCGATCCCAAGGGGACTCTGGAGTTGGCTAAACAAGTGAGCAGCCTTCCCCTGGCCAATTACAACCTGCTCAGATATATCTGCAAGTAAGTGACTAGGGGCAGGGAGCTCCCCTTCCCTGCGCTCTGGCTCTGCTCCCCTCACATAGGGGGCCTCGGTCATTCTCCCACCCCATCTCCCCGCCATGTGCTGATGGAGCCAGCGAGGGGCATAACAGAACACAGCCCCTGCGCTCATGGAGCTTATGGTCCCTGTGGGAGCAGGCAGTGTTAAACAGTCCCCAGGGTAGCATTCCTGAAGAGAAGGGACACACCCTGTGTCCCTTCAGCCTTCCCTGGGTGCCTCCCGCCGTTCCCTCCCCCAGGGGTCTGCCCCCCGAGCACACCGGCCTCGCCCCAGGAGCTGGGAGAGGGCATGCAGTGCGCCTGAGGGCTCTGGGCCTTCGCGGGCCTCTGTCCCCATTGCAGGCGGGAAAGTCGTGTGTCCTGCTTCCACACTGACAGTGGGCCCTTGTCCCGCCGGCCTCTGCTTCCGATGGCCATCTGCTGCCCCTCAGAGGGGGAGGCTCTGCCCTCTTCTGAGTTTGCCAGGGGCAGCTGGCTACGCCCAGCAGTCGTGGACGCGTGGACATGGCTGGGCATGGAGGCCAGGCAGCTCCCAGCAGATTTGGCTTCTGCTTCTTCCTTACTGTACAGGTTTCTGGATGAAGTCCAGTCCCACTCAAATGTCAACAAGATGAGTGTCCAGAACCTGGCAACTGTTTTTGGACCCAACATACTTCGGCCACAGATAGAAGACCCGGTAACCATCATGGAAGGTAACGGTGGAGGCGTGCGTAGCGGTGCTGGGTGCTGCCCAGGGCTGGCCTGTCCTCGGTCGCAGGCCCGTCCTCAGGAGCATCACCCTGCATCAGTCCAGCCCAGGGCCGGGCTGGTGGGAGGGGGCTCCGTTCCAGGGGGCCCTCTCCTCCCCCTCCCTGACCCCATGGGGTCCAGCTATAAAAGGAAAAGGAACTTTGCCCTGTGGATGGGGTCATTGGGAGCAATTAGGATGGTGGGAGAGACTGGGGGATGGACGAGGTCAGTGCCCTTGCCCTTGAACATACACTGATGTTTTTGCTTTTCTTAAGTAAATGTTATTAAGTAGTTGTCACGGGCTCCTGGATGTCAGAGCCGTACCCTGGGGAGTAAATAATGACAAAAAATAGCAATAGCAGCTGTTTGCGATATGTGAGGGCCTCTAGGAGTGCCTTCCTTGTATCACCTCATTGTCAGCTTCACAAGTTCATGATGTGGTTATCGCACCCATTTTACAGATGGGGAAACTGAGCACAGGAGAGGAAAGGTGACTCTGTCAGCCAGGTTTACCAAAGGGCACAGGTGCAGGCTGTCCTGGAAGCTAGAGCCCATGCCCGGAGGCCCCGTGGAAGACTGTCCCGGAGTGGTTAGTGTGGGAGTCCTGCTGCCCACGGACGGGAGCCCCACAGCCAGTCCCGGCTGAGGTGTGCAGAGGCAGGCCAGGACTCACACAGCACAAAGCCAGCCGGAGCTGCTGCTCCTGGCACCAGGCAAGCTGAGGCCGGAGTTGCCATTCCTTGCTGAGCATGACCTGGGAGAGATGGGAATGTGGGGGTGGGCTGTGGAGCTCTGTGTCCCCCCAAGCCTAGGGTGTGGCTCTTGGGGTGGCACTCTCCCTCAGATCTCCCCCTTGGCCTGCCTAGCTCGGTCTCATCCCAGGCCCCCCAGGTTCTCGGCCTGCCAGGTGGAACAAATGCCCAACAGCAAACACTGAGTTCCTGCTTCACCCGGTTTTCTGGCTAAGGATTCCTTATTTCTTTCCAGGATTCTTAGTTACCTCTAGTGGGAGGGTCCCCCCAGCCACCCCTCCTTCCTTATCACCTGGAAACCTTCCCAGTCTCTGGTCTCTGGTGGAGGGTAACGGGAGGGAACAAGGCAAGCAGATAGGTACCATGGTCCCACTGTACTGCCCCCCCTTTCATCGCTGACCCCCAAATCCCAGTGGCAGGAACTACAGGCACACAGGCTGCATCTCAGGGGCCGTGGCCTGGAGAAGAGGTATTGTGTGTGTCATTGTGTGTGTGAGAGAGAGAGTAGGGTGGGGGGAGGGCGAGTTGTGCATGTTGGGGGGCTGCGTACATTCATTTGTGTGTTGTGACCATGTGTACATGGGATTGTGTGTGTGTGGGGGGGTGTGTGTGTCCACTTGCACCTGTAAGACCTCTCTGTCCCTGACCCAGAGCCTTGTGACCCCCAGAGTGCGGACAGTCAGGCACAGCCCTCCCTGGCAGTGCAGGGGAGTGGCGTGGGCAGGGGCAGCGGAGAAGGCTGTGATGTCTAGGTCCCGGTTTCCAGTGCCAGCCTGCCGCTGGCTCGCTCTGTGGCCTCAGTGGGCATAGTGCCTGCTTCCTCCCCACACCCAGAGGGAGGCACGGGGCTGGAGGCACAGTGCCCCCTGTGTGTCCAAGGAAGGGGCTTCGTGGGCAGGATTCTTCTGTCTGTGCTAGATTTGGAGGGTGTGGTGGCTGAGTCCTCTCCTGAGGGGCAGCCTGGTTCTGGACTGCAGGCACCCTGGGTTGGGTCTCATCTAGAGAGCCTGGACTGGAGACATCCAGAGCCAGGCTTTCTCACTCTCTCTCTTCCTGGCAGGCACTTCTCTGGTCCAGCACCTGATGACCGCCCTGATCCGCAAACACGGCCAACTCTTCACTGCGAGGGCCGAGGAAGGGCCGGCCTCCCCGCGTGGGGGCCCACCGTGCACAGTGGGATGGGGCTCCGAGGAGGTCCCGGGGGATGGCCAGCCAGAACCCAGCAGCCCCAGCAGCCCCAGCAGCCCTGGCCTGCCATCACACAGGACCTCGTCTCTGGATGGGGCCACTGTGGCAGCGCTGTCTAGAACCTCCCCCGCGGGCCTGGGTAGCCGAGGCAGCCCTGCCACTACCAGCCCTGGGAAGAAAGTGCAGACTCTGCCCAGCTGGAAGTCTTCTTTCTGGCAGTCAGGGTCCCGTTCGGGTAGCCCGAAGGTGGGCAGCTCATCCCTGGAGGTGCCCATCATCTCCTCCGGAGGGAACTGGCTCATGAACGGGCTGTCCTCCCTGCGCGGCCACCGCCGGGCTTCCTCAGGAGAACGGCTCAAGGACTCAGGCTCTTCACAGAGACTCTCCACTTATGACAATGTGCCCCCACCCAGCGGCCTCTTTGCCAGCACCCCCAGTGTGGCCAGCACAGCGTGGTCGGGGGCCTCCTCCTGCGAGGCGTCGGCCAGGGGCTCGATCAGCAGCTGCACGGCCTGCCGGGCCAGCGACTCATCCGCCTGCAGCTCCCTGCATACCGAGGGGGCCCTCGAGCCTTCCCCCTTCCCCAGTAGCAGCGAGGACCGCAGATCCCCGGACCTGGGCCGTGGCCTGGACAAGGTGGACACCTGCATCAGCAGCAGCGAGCCCAGCGACCCAGGCAGCCCCACCCAGGACTATGCTCGCTGCTCCGAGGCTCTCCAGGGCCTGGTCACAGAGCTCAGGGCGGAGCTGTGCCGGCAGAGGACTGAGTACGAGACCAGTATAAAAAGGTAAAGGGCTGCAGCCATGGGGTGAGTGCGAGGCTGGCACCCCCAGGGCCGGGCAGAGCCCTTGTGGCCAGCAGCTCACGGGGCACCAGCTCTGGGTAGTCTGCCTCTGGCTCTGAAAGCAAGCCTCTCTGAGGCAAGGCTCAGAGCAGCCAGCCCCAGGAAGCCACTTTTCTGGGAGAATGCCCCCAGAACAGGGCTGGGAATGGAGGGGTGGGGTCCTATGTCTGGAAAAGCTCAGGAGCTACAGGGCCTGGTGTGCAGAGCTCCATAAATGCCTGCTGAATGAGTGAGTGAGTCAGAATCTCAGCCTGAGCTGCTCAGAGCACCTTTAATGGAGGGGCTCAGCATAGGAGTCCCTGTGTGGCCCTCAGGGAGGAGACGGGCCCCCTGAGATGTGCATGGACCCAAGGAAGTGTCCATGTGCAATGCAGGCCCCAGGCCAGCCTGGCTGGCTGACCATGGTTGGGCCTGATACGGAACGAGGACTCCTTCTAGGATTGTAATCCAATTTCCTATGAGGAGGGAGCTGGCTGTGCTGAGCCCTGCCCTCCTACCTTCCCTGGTCACAGGAGGATGCCTTGTGCCATATTCTGAGCCTTGCAAGTTTGCTCACAGATGGTCCTAGTTTGATCCTTCCAGCCTCCCTCGGAGGAAGGTGTATTCCAGCTCTGAGGCACCAGGTTCTCCAACCAAGGTCACCAGCAGAGCCTGCACTGGCCAGTGCACAGTGCTTCTGCCAGCATCTCAGGCTTCTTAGCCCCTGGCCCCAGCTGTCTGACCTATAAATCAGGCCCCACCCACAAGCAGAAGTTGTTTGTGGGCTCTGACATCCTCCTTTCCCCATCAGAGACAGTGGAGGTGAAGGGGTTCCTGCTTCTCACTCTGGGCCTGGGATTTCTACAGGGAGCTGGAGGGGCAGCGTTTGGCCCTTTTGTTCTGCAGGAGGTCGGGGAGGGTCACGGCAGGCAATGTCTGAGCCAGGAGTTGAAGGACCAATAGGATTGGGCTGAGCAAGGAGGAGAAAGGACACAACATGAGTAAAACTGTGAGGTATACAGCTGGGGGGAAACCCCCACAAGTGTGAGCACTGGGTTGGAATTTACCAGGCAACGGGAACGGTGGAACACCCTGCAGATATGGAGAAAGATGATTACAGCTGAAGATGAGCTCACAGACAAAAACTACAGGATACATGAGAAGTATTACCAGGCGGAGGCTGTCATCATACAGCCTCAGAAGAGGTCAGAACCAGCTTCTCACTTCTTTAGCTCTTTGTGGAGCCAACTTGAGCTTCTAGCTCTTTCACCTTCTCAGAAGCTTGGTCTCTCAGGGGAAAATGCAAAGTTGTTCCGTGGAGGGCTCTAGATAACACTGCCTAGGGTCGAGTCTCTGGCCTCGGGTGACCTCACCTATTTGTCGTGAGGATTAAGTGCCACAGTGGATGGGAGTGCTCGGCACAGGGCCTGGTGCATCCAGAGTGCTCAGGGAGTTTTCACTGCTCACACTTCCTCCTGCTTGGTGGCTTGGAGGTAAGCTAAAGTTCGCAGAGGCAAAGGGACAGCAGCAGCCCTTGTAGGACCCTCGCTAGCAGAGTGGTCCGTGCTGTCATCCTGGTTGGAAGGGTGGTCTAGGGAGAGAAGGGTCTGTCTGAGCACATGAAAGAATGGAGCCCCATCCAGCGAGTCTTTGGGGAATACATCTGCACACAGGAGTCAGTCAACGCTGCGTCTGGTCTGGGGGGTTAGGGGAAACCAGCTTTCTGCCCTGCCTCCCAGGACTCAGAACCCCTCCCCTGTGCCAATTCCTGTATTCCCAAAAGAGAATTCACTGAGTGTCTATGATGTGCAGACACTGTACGAGATGCTGGGGACACAGCCAAGACCAAAACTGATCAAAACCTCTGCCCTCATTCTTATTTGGTGGTGTTTGAGGGTTGGAGGCAGAGAGAGACCATAAACAAGATAGATTTTAAAAATCTATGGTATGTTAGAAGGTTAGATAAAGGAGGAGTACAAAGCAGGGTGAAGGGAAGTGGGGAGCATGGCGGGGAGAGGGCTGGAAGGCCATGCTGGGACAGAGGGAAGGCCAGGTGCAGAAGCCCAGGGGCTGTGGTGGGAGAGGCAGGTGGAAGAAAGAGTGGGGATGAAGGGAGTGTGAGAAAGGGGGGTGGAGTGTAGGGCTCTGGCTAGATACGTGGGTAGCATGGACCTAAGCGGCAGCAGTCAAGATAGAAGAGCCAGATTCTGAACATATTTGGAGGATTTTGCCAACTGGTCAGATGTGGGGATGAAAGAAAATTGACTTAAGGGACGACCTTTTTGTTTTGGTGGAGTAACTGAAAGAAGGTGTTTACTGAGTGGGACACCAGGACTGCAGAAGTGGTTTGGAGAGGAAGAGTCAGGAGCCACCTGTGGGCCTGTTAAGGTGCAATGCTTATGAAGTTTGAGTGGAGTCAAGTGAAGCTGAGGGGTTGTCAGCATGGAGATGATACTTTGGGTCTGGAGATGGGATGAGGTCACACAAAGAACCACATAGAGAGGAATACAGGAAGCCCAGGCCCGAGCTTGAGTGCACCAGGGCAGAGAGGAAGAACGAGCGAAGAGGGGGCTGGATCCAGAGGAGATGCAATGAGGGGTCTGTGGGGTCCCTGCTGCCACTCACCTTGGGGGTTCTTCTGTCTCACAGCATGTCCCGTGCTCCACAGATGGCGGGCTGGGGCGCAGGCAGCTTTCCTGCCGCCTTCACGCTTTGTGTTAGGTGACTGAGGGTGGAGGCCTGGGCCTCATCCTGGACGGGATGGGGAATGGATACTTGCTGCAAAACACCACATTACAGGTGTTGCGCTGTGCGCTCACTGTGCGTGGTCTTCTTTGTCCATTGTAGCTGTAGCTCTTGGGGGAAGGGCTGGCCCCTGCATTTTTTCAGAAAGGACACCAGGACTCAGAGCAGTTTGTGTTGCTTCATAAACAGCCGGCTGGGGCTCAAACTCCAGTGTGTTGGTTCCCAGGGGCTGGGCTCAGCATGCCCCAAAGACCTTACAGGAGGTAGTCATCTGGTCGAAAAGACAGACGTGCCAGCCTTTGTAGAGTGTGGTGTCAACATCCAGAGAAGCGTGTCTGTGGGGAGGATCCAAAGAAGTATCACTGAGGGTGGGACATTTGAGCTGGGGCGTGAAGGACAAGGAGTAGTGGAGGTGACAACCTGAAAGGGGTTTCCCCTGAGTCGCAGTGCGTGGGAGGTGGGGCAGCCAGAGGGAGGCTGCAATATAAGGGGCCTCGCAGATGAGCAAAGGCGAGGGGACAGTTTCCTACTTCCCTCTCCATTTGGGGACCAGGCCTGCTTTCTGCCAGCCAGCAGCCCATTCCTCAGTGGACAGTTGGCTGGGCTGGAGGGTAAGTGGACTTTATATTTTAGTGAGGACTCAGGGAGGCCCCCCCGCCGGCCTTGAGCGCCAAAGGGCCAAATGCTCATGCTGGCATTTCTGGATCACAGGCTGAGGAGAGGTCCCCTGGGGGTGAGTGCCCGGGTCTTTTGAGGAGCTGATGAGGCCTGTGAGGCCTGTCCCAGAAGCCAGGTCCAAGCCTGCATGTGTCCTTCCCCTCCGCCGGCCGCCTGACCAGCTCCTTTGGAAGGAATGCATGCAGGCACATGTTTGCTGAAACCCAGCCAGCCAAAGGCTAAAACAGTGTCTTTCTTCTTGATTTTAAAGACTCGAAGAAGGTAGTGCCAACCTGAGGAAACGAATGTCACGGCTAGAAGAAGAACTGGACCAGGAAAAGAAAAAGTACACAATGCTGGAAATAAAGCTGAGGAACTCAGAGCGGGCGCGAGAAGACGCGGAGAAGAGGAACCAGCTGCTGCAGAAGGAAATGGAGGAGTTTTTTTCAACCCTGGGAAGCCTGACTGTAGGGGCAAGAGGTGACAAAGCCCCAAAGTGAAGGAGTGGAAAGAGCTCCCGTCCACAGGGTGCTCACCCGCCTCTGAGCAGAGATGGCTGCCAGCCTCACGAGGAGCCACAAGGCCCTGCAGCTTAGACGTGGGCTTCAGTGGTGCCAGCAGCTCTGGAGCCAGCTGGAGGGAGGAGTCCTGACGCCCCCAGGGGGACTGTCGGGAGCCCAAGCCCCACATGGGATCTGGATGCTGCTCCGACCATGCAGGGCCTGGCAGGTGTCTCGTGACCACCAAAACAGATGGCACCTGGGATCTGAGTAGCCGAGTGGGCTACTTTTTTGCATTCGTTATTAAATTTGCTACCATAGCATGATGTCTCGATGCCTGACTCCTTCTTTATGGTCATGTAGAATGGGGGTTACCAAGTTGCTCGCAGGGTTGCAAGTCCCCAAGGTGTGCCATGGGTGGAATGGCCTGGGCTTCAGAAGTGGGTTATGAAGCTCCCTGAGGAACACACAGTGTTGTCACAGTCACTGAAGCTGGATTTATGCAAATCTATGTTTTGCTCAATGTTCCCTGTGCCCAAGGCAAGACGATTTTCCTCAGTCAGGCCTTCCTTCCCCCTCTGAGCCACCTGGGCCTCTGCAGCTGGTGTCTGGCCTGGAATTCCTCTCAAGCCTTCTACCATAACCTGCTTGCCTTTGCTTGGCCCCCCATCTGCTCCAGGGCCAGAGCCCCTGAGTCAGAGCTCAGCATGGGCACTCTATACCTCACTTCTGCACCCGGGTGTGCGTGGGGGCACAGTGGGTGTTTGAAGGAAAAGAGAGCCACGGGGATGGGAAGTGCCCATTCTCTGTCCTCCAGGCGCCCCTCAGGCTGGGTGCCCTGTTTCCCTGCAGATTCCCCTTCGAGCTAGTGCTAGTCCCTCTTCCTTCCATGCCCATTTTACCTTCCTTCTCCAGCTCATCCTCAGACTTCAAGGCTCCATCAGGGCAGAGCTTTCAACAAAGTGTTTACCTGGCCACCACCACACATGTGCAGGCCTGGGCCAGAGCTCCTAGGGATGGGACTTAGGGAGCAACAAAGGAGTGGCCTCTGAGCGGAGAGGACTGGCATCACTTCACTTACTCCTGCTCACAGTGTCCTTACATATCACCTCTTGCTATCCTGAGCACCAAAGTGCCCCAATTTCTGATCACTATCTCTGGAAAAGTCCCTCAGGCCCAACCACCCATCCACCTAGAGTCTGGTATAAACTACAACACTGATGCTTTAAATGCCAGGGTCTTGGTGCTCCTGAGAAGAGCTGGCTTCATACCATGGCGTACAAGCCCACAGGCCCAAGTTGACATTCTGGTAACTCCCATAGTGGTGAGGCAGGCTGACCACAGGCCTTCTGCTGAGCCACCCAAGGTCTTACCAACCAGGAAGCCAGATGCCTGCCAAGGGCACCCAGCAGCATCAGCAGGCAAGAGTTCTCTTGGGAAACTTTGAGGAGGGGGGGGGTCAGTGGAGAGCAACACCCAGATCTACTCTCAGGCAATCTATAGCAGATGATCTGGGTTACCAGTTTCCCCAGAAGGTAAAATTCAAGGAGAAAGAGAAAAGAGGTGACTGATTCCTCAACAAGATAGGAACTGGTCCCATGCTCAGAGGAGAAACTGAGGCTAGGAGAAAATCGGTGGGAACACCAGTGTATTTTTATGGTCCTGGGCTCCCTACCATAGTCCTGGAATTCTACCAACTTTGACGTGGAGAGAAGATACCACCAGGCTATCAAAGGAGCAGGAAAGACAAAAGGGGGTTCACACGATGAAAAGGAAGTTTGTCTGCTCTTAGCCATTCATACTGGCAAAGGCTCAGCTTCCAGCCAAGGCCTGGCCAAAACCAGCTCGTGGACCACATCTGCCACCTGCTGGCAAAACCAGGATCTGCAAAGGCAATTTTTCTCCTGAAATCAGTAGGCAATATTCAGTAGAAGTTCTATCCTCCAGTTTCCATTTAACCAGCATATTCCATTCTATCCGTAAAACATACGGACTTCTGCCTGTGAAGCACGTTCAGCACCAGGGCCGATGGGCTTTGGCCTCGTACCCTGTCCCTATCCACTTAGGTTCTCCCCAGCTGAGTTACCTTTCAACAACCTATTCCCGAACTGTGGATTCAAGTTGTACCTATTAGTGTAATGACATTTCAAATTAAGTAAACCAGTGAATTATGAATGTGAAAATATAGGTAATTAATGTTTTGAAGACCTTTGCATTTTTGGAATGCTTCAGAAAGAGCAAAGGCAAGTTGTTAAAAAATTGCTAAATTGTGGATAAATCAACCATGCAATAGCATAAAATTGGCAAAAATCTAGGATTTTGTTCTTAGATTACTTCAAAAGTGTTTTAAAATTTGTGTTTGGCTTTAAAGCAAAAACTGGAAGTTATAAGTCTCATACTAAAAAACAAAAAAGGAATTGGCTTAATAACAAATGTCCATTTTTTTTAAGAGTACAGTTTTTAGGGGGTGTGTGTGTGTGTGTGAGAGAGAGAGAGAGAGAGAGAGAATTCCTTGTTTTACCTGGCTGTTGAATAATGGACCAGGCATGACTGCTGTATACTCCACACTGTAAAAGGGCTTCGGAATGGAGTCCACGTATAAATGTTCCCAGGCCTGTGGGCAGTAAATGGAGTCAGTTGTTACTGTTACTGTTACTGTTGTAACAACATGTTTCGTGGCCCCAGCCCCCTGGAGAGTTCTCCTAATATCCTATGTGGTTCTATCACAAAGGGACAGTTTCTCATTTGTATGAGCCCACAGCTAAGTAGATACGATAATGCTGCTGTCTCTTACATTCTTGTCTCCACCTAGAGCCCCCACCTTTGCCAGAAATCGCTGCCCTTCCTACCAAGCCCATTGCTACTACTTCCATGCTCCACCAAGCCCTGTGACAGGTGGACCTCTGAGGTGCCAAAACTATGTGGTGGTTGGTGAGAAAGAGCTAGAGCCACAGAAAGCTTTTCAGCATAGAGCAAAGAACTTGGGCCGGGTCTGTGCAGCTGGAAGACCTTGGGGAAGTTAAGCTTTGTGGGTCTCTGTTCCGTCCTATCTAAAATGAGGATAACCTCAGAGAGTGGTTGCTGCACCAGCAGGTCTAGGTGTCTCACATGTGATTAGGCGATGTTACTTTCTGCACTTCAGAGCTGAGTACTTTGGAAGCACAGAGAAGTTAAGGACCTGGACCACAACCATACACAAGTCAGTGAAGGAGTCAGGCTTCCATCCCAGGGAGTCTTAATTAAGAGCCTGTATTCTTACTTACTCGTCCAAACTGAAGAGATGCTGGCTTGATAGTTTTAAAACGTTACCCCTATCATGTTTTAATGAGGTCTGTGCACGGGATGCAAAGTAAGTGCTGTAAGAGACCTCTAAATCAGACGATGGCAGAGGTCAGGGAAAGCTCCCCACAGATGTGACACCTCAACTGTTCTGTATGCTGATGTGTGTAACCAGAGCAAAAGGGGTGTGTGTGTGACAGAGAGAGACAGAGAAAGGAGAGGGGCGGGGGAGGATGGAGGGCTAGAGGTGGCAAGGATCTGGTCACGGAGGGTGGGATATGCTCTTAACCCGTATGCTTCAGGAGAGGATTTCCCTGCTGCATATTATATCCACTATAGAAATCCACAAGGCCTTTCAATTTTGTAGGGATAGAAGGAACAAGACCTAGGTCACGGCTTTCATAGAACTTACATTGTAGTGGGGTAAGACAGAACATAAAGAAGTATTAAAAAGAAGACAACAGGTCCCAAATGGAGTCACTTATACTCAGCCACATTCCACGAAACCAAGACTTATAGTTTGGGCTCTCCCAGACTAGTTAGGTCATCTGTCGGATAGACCCCAACCATCCCCTGCAAGAAAGCAACCTTACAATAACCAACCTGCTTTTTTGTCTAGTATAATTTCCTGCTCCCTTCTGCCTATAAAGTTTTTCATTTTTTACAACTCCTCAGAGCTCATTTGTTAGGTTGTATACTGCCCAATATTTATGAATCATCGAATAAAGCCATTAAGATCTAAATTTACTTAGTTGAATTGTGTTTTTTTTTTTTTAACAGAAGTACACATAAACAAGATACATTCAGATTTTAATAAGTGCTCTGAAAAAGTTGATCCCACGGCCTGTTTTAGACAATTTGGTCCGGAAGTCCTCTCTGAGGTGAATCTGAACAGAGACTGAAGGACAGAGAGGGCAGCCATGCAACCAGACAGCTGCAGGCGGAAGACAAAGAGCTGTAGAAGTCCGCCTGAGTGCTGGCACCCCTGTGGGCACGGGGGACAGACAGGGCAGGGGCCAGGCAAGGCCAGACACTGTAGGTAGGGCCTTGTCACCCAAGGTGGAATTATTTTAAGGGATGTAGAAACATTTGAAGGCTTTAAATCAATGAACGTGAATTGGCTTGTATTCCAATGAGGCTCTTTTGGCCACTGGTGGAGAGTGGATAAATTTGGTGGGGGTGACGGGGAGTGGCTGCAGGGAAGCTAGTCCGGGAAGTGTGGTCCAGGCCAAGTGTAGTAGAGTGACAGGCCAGCAACTAGACAGGAAAACTGAATGAGGGGTGAAGGGAAGACACCGTGCCCAGATCAATCTTTACAGAGGTCCTGATGTGAATAGGAGCAGAAAAATAGGGTAGCAGAGTGAAAGGGGGTGAGAGGGGGGCCTTTTATTTTTTTTTTT